GCAAGGCGAGGCTTCCTTTTATGGCTGCGGCCTAGGTGCTGTCAACGACCGTATCGTTGTGTCCCGTCTCTCTGCTTGTCTCTGGGCGTCTGAGGCACTTCACAAGCAACCAAATGGCCATTCCTTCAGCTGCGTTTGCCCCTCATGAGCATTGGCAGCGAGACACCTTGGACGACATATCTAGAACTGTTAGTAATGCGACTAGCGTAAACTTGATCACACGGACCCTCTGTACCAGATGGAGTCGTCTCCCTCCTCCGCGCTCCGATACTCCTCGAAGGCGAAGAACTCGTCGCCCACGTCGAGATTGTCCATACAGTTGCCGACGAGCGGTGGCGCTCCAGGAGAGGCGGGTGCGGCTTGTCGCCCGCCCGGCCGAGCATGCTCAGCACGCCCGAGACGGCGAGGTAGTTGATGTCGTGCCCCGCCATGGCCGAGTACTTGCCGTCGCGCCTGAATCCCGTCATGCGCGCGTAAATCAGCTTCGGGTTCGCCTCGAGCAGCGGCTTGGGGCCCAGACCGAGCTTCTCCAGCACGCCCGGGCGGAAGGGGTCAATGAGCACGTCGGCGCGCTCTGCCAGCTTCTTAACTAGCGCAACGCCCGCCGGCTGCTTCAGGTCGACGACTACAGATTGCTTGTGGCGCGCCAGCATGTCCTTTGTGCGGTAACGTGAGCATTCGTTGCCGCCTCATCGAGGTGGTCGAGTGCTTTGCCGCACACAAAGCACGGCGGCTTCGCAGGAGCCCTGTCGGTCAGCTCAGTTTCGGGGGAGGTACAGCTCACTTGCTACCAACATACTCGATCGAGTCGTCAGAGCCGTCGGCGCCATTACTCAAACGTCTTGCTCCGGCCGCCGACGTCTCGGCGGGCTCGTCGAAATGGGCATTGACATGATGCTCGAACGCAACGTCGTCGGCGTCGACGTTCTGCTCGCACACGGGGCAGGTCGGCATGATGGGAAGGCGCTTGGGAGAGAGAAAGGAAGATGGAAAGTGAGAAAGGAGGGAAGGTAGTTGGTGACTGGACTACGCAGGGCGCCGCCGATCCCCCTGTTGCTGTGCTGAAGGAATGGCAGATCTGAGAATGCTGATCGGCTTTAGTCATCGCTTTCTATTGTTCTTGGCTGTACCTTTGAGATTCAGTGGGGTCGTTGGATGCCTACTTGATGCATTATCTGGTGCAAGGCGGTGCTGCACTGTTGCCAGTGTTGAAGGTCTGAGCTTCACGCCTGATGTCGAGGCCGAGGCGGTCGGCGCTGAGTGCGGGAGGAGTGCCATCTCGGCACGTACGTCGTCGACGTACACTAGCGAGGGGGAGGCGGAGGAACGGCGGACGTGGTAGCCTGACACGCGGACTGAGCGGGGCGGGAGAGGCATGGCGGTGTTGGATAGGTGAGAGGTGAGAGGAGGCAAAGTGTGAGGTGTGGCCGGATTGTCTGGCGAGGAGTGCGGGCAAGACAAAGTACGATGGCAAGAAGTGTTGCAGGAGGGGGGAGAAGCGTGCAGCGTGCGGGGAGGAAGCAAGTGAGTCGATAGGGGATTCCTCGCGGTAACGTCCGAAACGCAGGACACCGAGCAGGTCCTCTGGTGTGCCGTTGTGCGGTGGGTGGCAACAGTCACGGTCGGTCGATCACGACAGGCGTCACGGCCCGGGTACCACGGATTGAGGGTTCGATTAGGCCGGTCCGATACGGATTACACTACGCAGTGTGACGGGAGGTTGGTGGATGCGTTGATTGTGCGCGAGTGACTTGGTGACGAAAGATGGGCGGGATGCATGGGATGTGGGATGGCATATAACAAGTTCGCGGTAGGCGATAGCTTTAAGCAGCGTCGCGACGTCATGAGCGTGGGTCGCCGTGTCGGAATGGATAAACAACACGTCCGATCGAGTCGACTAGCCGAGCATCCGAGAGCTTGGAGCCTTATCGGAGCTGCCGGGGACACCGGGCGAGTGGCAACCGGCGAATGGGGCCGGCTGTTGATTGCCGCATTCGAACGTTCATTCCTACCCCTCCTCTCTCGTCCCAGGCAACCCCCTCTATCCCCACCCCAAAGAAACCGAACAACCGAACCGATAGCAGCTCGACTATGCATTCGCCGAATGACGCTACGAGCACACACACAGACATGCTCACGCACTGCCTATCTACCTCCGTGCCTATCTCACTCCAGGTCCACAGCGTCCACAGCAGTGCACGTCGGGTGCTTGCGCTTCGCACTCTCCCCAGCACCGATCCGGCCCCCACTGAACGCAAGGATCTGGTACTGGTTGTGCCCGCTCCAACGTGTGAGATTGACACGGAACACGTTCAGTCCGCTCCCCATCGCGCTCACCTTCTGCCCCGCCTTGGCGACCTTGCTCACAACCTTGCGCCGCACCCAGCCGTCCGCCGTCACCTCGTCGGAATCGCTGGGCGCCGCAGCGGCTGCACCCTCCAGCACGTCATCGGGCGAGTCGCTCGACGCAGAGGGCCGTGCGGATCGCGCCTCTCGGGCCGCCTCGATGCCTGCCGCCCGGACATCCTTGGGCACAGTCCTGCTGTCAGCTGCGACAAATGCGGGGAAGCTCACTTGGCCGGATCCAGTATCAGCAGCGTTATCTCGCCCTTGCGTTCCTCGTACCCGACGATCGTGCGCGAGTGTCCGGCGTGCTGAGGTCAGCTCATTCCCTAGCCGACGAAGTTCACCTGGAGGATAAGAGGAAGATATGACGTGACGCGTAATCCTGGTGTGGATCCGTCATACTCGGCAGCTTCGTCCTGGCGTTAGGTTAAATGGTTGGACCGAAACACCTACAAAGTATCGCTTGACCCATAGCCCGAGCACTTGGTGCGTCGGCTGCGGATTCGGATAGTCGCGATCTTCTGGTTTGCGGAAGTCAACTGTCGGTTAGTTTGAACGAGTATAGTCAACTCACCCAGCCTGGTGTCGATGCACAGGTAGGAGAACATGGCGTAGAGGTCTGGAGTCAGCTCGACGACAACCCAGGGGGAGCTCACCAGACGTCCCGATCCACTTGCTCGTTCCGACGAGCTTGCCCTTGAGCTGCTGCTTGCCGTGCGGGTCGAAGCCGGCGCGCCAAGCGTCCTCAATCCACTGCTGGATTGTGCGCACGCCAGGCTCCGTCTTCTCCCACTCGCCTTCGCAGCCCGCGAGGCGCAGCGCCGCAATCGCCATCAGAGCATTACGATATCCGCACCCCCACGCTGATGTCAGCTGGCTGTACGAATATCCAACTCACTGCCATCGAAACCCCACGCGCCCTTGATGTGCACGGCCTGCCGGACTGTGACGCCGTCGCACTTGCGGTCCTGGGCGATGAGCTGGCGCACGACGGGCATGACGCCTGGCGAAAAGTTTGGCGGCACGCTGCCCGCGTCCAGTCGGCCTGTTACTGGGTCCCACCTGGTGTCAGTTGGCTGCAGTATCACAGAAGACAGCCTACCACTTATCCCGCTGCTTGGCCCTGTATGATCGGTTCGCAAACGCTGCTGCATCCCACACGCCGTTCTTGCGGTGCTTCCTTGCGCCCGTCTGATTCGGATCCGGTCCCTCGTGTCCAAAGTCGGGGAAGTCTTCCTCCGAGCTGTAGTCGTAGTTGTCCGGGTTGTCCAGTTCCCGCTCACCGTCCCCGCGTTGCACTGTCGGGGCGTCGAGGTCGTCTCCGTCTGCCATTAGGTTGCCAAGTATGCGGGACACCTACCAAGACAAGCGGTAACGTGAGCATTCGTTGCCGCCTCATCGAGGTGGTCGAGTGCTTTGCCGCACACAAAGCACGGCGGCTTCGCAGGAGCCCTGTCGGTCAGCTCAGTTTCGGGGGAGGTACAGCTCACTTGCTACCAACATACTCGATCGAGTCGTCAGAGCCGTCGGCGCCATTACTCAAACGTCTTGCTCCGGCCGCCGACGTCTCGGCGGGCTCGTCGAAATGGGCATTGACATGATGCTCGAACGCAACGTCGTCGGCGTCGACGTTCTGCTCGCACACGGGGCAGGTCGGCATGATGGGAAGGCGCTTGGGAGAGAGAAAGGAAGATGGAAAGTGAGAAAGGAGGGAAGGTAGTTGGTGACTGGACTACGCAGGGCGCCGCCGATCCCCCTGTTGCTGTGCTGAAGGAATGGCAGATCTGAGAATGCTGATCGGCTTTAGTCATCGCTTTCTATTGTTCTTGGCTGTACCTTTGAGATTCAGTGGGGTCGTTGGATGCCTACTTGATGCATTATCTGGTGCAAGGCGGTGCTGCACTGTTGCCAGTGTTGAAGGTCTTCGATAAGGAGGTAGGACTAGATGTCAACAAAAGGGCTCGAAGTCAGAGCGGCGATCGCTGGTGCAGGCGACAACCTTTCGTCATATCGACTTGCCTTGTGCCTGCACGTGGTCGAGTCTCCCACGGCTGCACCTCCACCTGCGCCGTATTCCAGAAGCGTCAGCAACCATTGATTGCGCCTTGCGCCGTCAGAGCAGCCCATGCATGCCATCTCGAAGTGGGCGCGCTTGATGCGTCCCGTCGTTGGAGCGCACTCTCGTCGTCGAGAAGGAGAAAGCAAGAATGCAAGCGTCAGGTGACGCGGAACGAAGTGCATGTCGCGAGCGGGAAGCCTGCAAGCTCTATGGCTGGGCTGGCTGGGCGGCAATCGGTTGCGTGATGCGTTTGAATCCATCGGCCAGGGTACCGAGCCGTCATTAGGCGTCAGGAGAGGCGGGCACTCACGTCGATCCAAATTACCGCGCGACATCCACTTACTCGTCTCTCATCACATTCACCCATCGACCACATCGCCATGTCCGACGAACTCGGTGTACGTCCCTCTCCCTAGCTAGAGCTCGGTGCTGCTTAGCTAACGTGCAGGCCGTTTTCTCCAGCTCGTTCTCGATGCCGGCCGCGGAGGCGTCGATCCCGGCCCCCGCCTCCGCGGACCCGACACCGCTCGACGTCTCCGAGGCCGCCGCTGA